TGCTTCCGCTATTGCTAATTCTGTCTATCGTGTTTTTGCTCTGTCCCCACTCCTTCCTTTCATTAATGAAATCCTACCCATCTTTCAGGAAGTTTCAGTCTTCTTTAATCTGGGAGGCCTCGTTAACATCCCTAAGCTAAGTGCTCACCCCCTAGAGTCCCTCTAGAGTTTTATGTACTTCTGTCACAGCACTTAGCTCATTCTGTGGAGAAATGTCTGCCCCATAACCAAGTCCCTCATGCATGGCGGGGCTGAGGGGTGTTTGGAGAAATTGAGCCTTGGAATGAAGATGTGGAACTCTGAGTAAGAGCAATGTAAGTAAGGATGCGAAAGAGAGACACATCAAGGGATGTTTAGAAAATGAGACTTGGTAAGCCTAGATTATGTTATGAAATAGGAAATAGGAGAGACACATTTGGGTGATAGAGGGATGTTTGGTTTTCGGTATAGTGGGTTTAACTCCAAAGGGAGCTGAAGGTGCAGATATGTTCAAGAGTTGGACGTGTGTGTGTGTGTGTGTGTGTGTGTGTGTGTGTCTGTGTGTCTGTGTGTCTGTTTCTTTTTTTTTCTTTTATTAGATTTTATTTTATTGGTACATTTTAGGTATACAATATAATGACATTCATCATTGGAAATTTGCACCTTTACATAGTCTCTCTTGGTTCTTATTTTTTCCCCCTTCCCCTGCCCTCCCTTCAACCTATGTGTATGTTTCTTTTTACAGATTTTTAAGAATTCAATAGAGAGCAAAGTAGTAGCTCACAGGCTTGGTTATAAAAGCCTTCCTGAGATTGATAACATCTATCACTTCACCACTCCAGCATCACCAGACTGAAGTAGAGCATGGAAAGTCTTGTTCACTCTTCTTCCTAGGCTTTTTCTTTCCTCTCTAGTGGGTCAATTGGTTGGATTTTTCATTTCCCTTGAAGTTATGGTCATTCATAGTTTCATGGCCAAAGCCAATGGTTTATTGGTACATTTTAGGTATACAGTATGTTTACATTTATCATTGGGTGCTTGTACCTGTACATGATGTATCTTGGTTCTTATTTTTTCCCCATTACCT